TCCAAATTAAATCATTCTAGAAGCTGCTTCCCATAAGTCTCCGCCAAGTCAAATAGAAAATTAAGAGGAGCCGAGAATGACAGTAAATGGAAATGATTTCAAATTACGAGTAGATAGATCCCAGTGTACGAGTGGGAGTGTACACTCCGTACAGACCACCCTCTGGGCTCTTAAATGGAGTTATATTCGACGCTTTATGGGTTTCCCGTCGAGTGACATAATAAAATAAAGTGCGTTTTTTCCTTTGTACTTATCCAATGAATATGGCAGTTGCATTTCTAAATTCAGCATTATTTCTACCATTCTCTATTTATTCATGGAGATTTAATATTTGAACTTTGCTAAGGAGCAGTCCCGTCTTTACTTATGGTTTATGGAATTCGGAGCAATTCATTGGTAGTTTAATTTCAATATTATGAAATGTACATACATATTCTTCTTTAAATGGGAATTCACAAATATTCCCTTAATTAAACTTCTTCTCTTCCATCTCCCTTTCACTCACCACCTATCCCACTCTCTTTCGCTTGCTCCCTTTTGAATTTTGAGCACTTGACTGCAATTTGTTGTTGAGCTTTTTAATTGCTCTCGCGAGTTCTTTCGCTTGGCTTTCCCTTTTGAATCTTTCATTTCGTACAGAGTACAGACCACCTCCGACTCCCTCTCTTCCTCACGCATGTGTAAGGGCCATTCATTCGCACAAATACAACTGTGCATGATTGTGCATGATGCTGTAGTGGGTGTGGATGTGCCTGTGTGTGTGTGAGTGCTGTTACCGTTTATGGGCACACAGTCAGCAGGTAGCTTTCCCACGTACTCATGTTTCATGTGCGCTTTTTCGTGTTAATTTACTTTTCAGCTTGTGGCCAGCAGCTGCAGGATGAGGCAGAGGTGCAGAAGCTGGGGCAGCATCTCAATTAACGGCAGCAAGGAAACCAAAAGAGAAAGGGAAATCCTGCCACATTGGCGCGTAATGAAAGGCCCAGACGAAGCACGACAACAAACAAATTGCAAAAGTTTGAGTGGGAGTGGGTGTGTGAGTGTGTGCCCCCAGGGGGGCAGCAGCCCAAGAGCCGAAATGTGAGCTATGCAAATAGGAGTGGAGAGCCCTTTTCACCATTTCCACGTTTGACACACTCCCAGAAAAAGAAGAAGTTAATGGAAAATGGGCAGGGGGTACAGGTACAGGCCAGTGCATACTTCTTGCCTACTTTGCGGCGTCTCTGCTGGCTTTAACCCCTGCACGGGTGTGGACCAAAGTCCAATCAAAGGGTCCCTAAAGGTGCTGAGGAGGAGACGAAATTGAGGCCAGACGTCGACGACGCCGACGATTATCCTCTTTTGTCTAGCCTGACCCATTGAGGGGTCTCTGTCTGTTCGTTTCTTGTTATTCTAAATGTATTACTCTCTCTCTCTCTCTCTGTCTCTATGTCCGACACTCCGCGCCACACTAACTAAAACTAATGAGAGTTAGTGGGTTGGCAAAGAGCTCGCTCCACACACTCGGGGCGGGGGAGACGACTCTGCGCCTCGAGCCCATCAAATGGCAGAGTTTAAACCTCATTGCTGGCGCATAAATTTTTCCAAGTTTAGTGCCCCTCATCCACTAACCTCTCTCCCACGATGTATGTGTATGGGACTGGTATGCAGCGGTGCCTGTCCATTGGAGCATGTTTAATAAGCGTCGCCATTTTTCATGTGCAGTCAACAGAGGAGCCCGACAGAGGGCAGAGGCTTCCATCCCCTGCCATTCCATGCAAATGACGACGAGCACAGCAACTATGAGAACTATGAGTGGCACGTGAAAAGTGGTATGTGTGTGTGTGCTACCAGCGATGCCAGTTGAAAAATGTTTGAGCAGAATGTGAAGGAGTGCTGCAAGAAAAGCTGAATACCTACTCGAGAGAGAGAATGGGAAGGGATCGCAGGGAAATCCATGAATATATTCTCCAGCTGTGCTGAGCAGTTCCGTGAGACTCGTCTCATGCACACAACATGCATGTTGTTTTTGCAATTCTCGAGCACTCGCTTGTGCTTCTCGAATTGCGCCAACCATCGGTTATATGTAAATCGCAAACTATCCATATTCCTGGTAATCCTAGACTGCAAAATTCACTCTGCAGGATCCCAAAAACTATCCTGATTGAGTTTTCTTTTCTTGCTCTCTCTGTTTCTTGGGATAACCCAATAAATACAACATCTATCAGCCATTTGCGTTGGGTGTGAGTGTAAGTGGCATGCCCCAAGCCCTCGTCTAAATGTGTATTATGATGATGCTGCACAAAAGCGACAGACTCCGGCACCATTCCACGCAAGAATGTCATCTTTTTCCCGGCATTCTGCTGTTCCGCTTTTATTTTGTTGATGTCTGTGTGTGCCTTCTGCTGTACGTCCCCCTCCCATTCCTCTGCTTTCCACGGGAAATTTGTCAACTCAGTGAATCATAAATGTTATATGGAGCGAGACAGGCATCAAGCTGAAGACAGCAACATCGGCCAGGGGAGAAGCAAACAAATGGAATGTTGTTTGCATTGAAATTTCGTTGCTGTGTTCGTTGCTTTGTTTGGTTTTCAATTAGACGAATGCTGTGCTGTGGGTATGGGCGGCAATGTTTGGTAATAATTTGTGGCATGCCTCAACAAACACGAAAAAAAAACAACAGCACACACACACCAAACAAACTGAAAGGTGCCCTGACCTGGCAGCTGTTTGGTTTAAGGTTGACAAATGGCCAACAGCAGCCAGGACATTCCCATACATCTGTAGCATACATTGGACATGCCCAAAAGACGTGGGGGCATGGCCAAATAGCTCACGTACTGCCATCCGGACACGTTTCGGCCAAGTATATGTATGCATGTCTGTCCATCCATCCGTCAATTGCCGAAATGTATATGCAGGGGGTATATGGAATAAGTGTGGTGTGTGGAACGGAGTCATCATGGTCCACTCAATTCCCTCCCCGAATAGTGGGTATCCCATGAGTCCTCTGTGTGTGTGTCTATCAGAATGTGTGCGTGTTATAAATATCACCTGTACTCGCACAAGTTGAGCAGCAAGAAGGAAACTCACTTATTTAGTGACTGGTTCTTGAGTTCCCGCCTGCATTCATGCCTCTCCTGCTTTTACGTGTGAACTTTCGCTAATTTATTTATGCTTACGAAAGACTTATGTACTCCCAGCATTAGACACATGAAATTAGATTCCCAGCTCAAAAGAAGAGGGAACAATTTAGTTACTGCTGCTGCTGCTGCTGCTGCTGCTCGGGCCCAATCATTTACTTAATTATTTAAAATGCTGCATGCAATTCAAGCTGCGTGCATCACCTGACCTAACCATCAGAGGGCGGCCTGCTGCACTACTGCCGTTTGTTGCTACAGCTTCAATTTGTTTAAAGCAGTGGAGACGGAAGAGGACTCTGTCCTTGGGAGGCTGAGCGCACACAGGCAGGACACTGAGCGTTGCCTGAGTGCCGGTGCAGTTCGTTTCAAATTACTTCAATGTTTTTGCAACATCAAAAGGGGAGTTGCAGCAACAGCATCTCGGATGAGTCACCTTGCAGCATTAAACCCTTGAAGCGGAGCTTCCTTGCTTGTTCCATCTTCTTTTATATCATAATTTGTTTTTCTATGGGCAAATTGCTATGCAAATTGAAGGAATAAATGATGCTGATGCTGATGCAGATGGCGTTGGAGATGATAATGGTCATTAGCTTTCTCTTTGCTGATGTTTTTTCCATAACTTGTGACCTGCTCTGCAAATTATATGCTTGGAAATGGCAGGAATGGGGTCCATTAGGGGTCCATTCAACTATTCTGGGTTTTATTTAGCGAGTACAGAGTTAGGGGTTCATTTAAACACGGATCTGTTGTCTCATTTTATAACTAATTGGAAAAGTATTTCGTGATCCGCATATCGTAATTGAAATTGCGCTGAAATGTACATAGATAAATCAAACCCACGCACGGGAGCTAATAGTCTGGCATTTTGCAAATTTAGTGACGTCATTCGATTTGAAGTTAAGTTTGGATCTGACGCAGGTATACTAAAATATACATAGGCACACACATTCGTGACTCTACAATTATCTAGCAGTAGGCCAGCATCTAAACGTACTATGCAACATGCAACTCAATGTACTACATACATATAATCTACAGTCATGTATCGCCCATTTATTTTGTGTATAATATTCTGTGCTGGCTGTGTATTGTTATGCTCTTATCTCATTTCCCTTGTAGCTTTTACTTGTCTGTCCGTTATTCTTAAAATTTTCCTATTCTATGGCTGCACTCGTGCTGTTTGTGCGTATTGAGAGACTCGCTTAGAAAGGATCGTAAGAGAGAGATGATGAGTTGGTGAGTGTGAGTGAGAGGGATATGTTTGTTTTGTCAAGCGAAAATTGTAATTTAAGTGCTCTAAAATATCTCAACAACGGCATCAGCATGCCTTAAGTGCGATTACGGCATCGAATAAATGTCAAAGCAGACAGCAGCAAGCATTTCTGGTTACAATTTGAGCGAAATATCCTCCAAGAATAAGTTTGTTTGTTTGCACAAAGTTATCAAATATCAAGAAACACATTTTTCCACCTCCCAGACCCAAACCCAAACCCGCCGCCATTCCTTGAAGTTGCCAGCTCCCAGCAGCACTTGCGAAATATTGCGTCTGCCTTGGCGTCATTTTTCAATTTCTTTCGTGCTCGAAGGATGGAGTCCACCCCCCTCCAGATCCAGTGGCTTGCCCCCCAGTAATAAGAAAGCCAACATATGCCTGCACCTGTGGCAAAGTGTATCTGTGTGTGCATGACAAGGAAAATCCCCGTCGCTGGGGCTGTTGGAGGACTTTTCTCCCATTTTCTATTTTACGATTATGCTCGCTGCGAGAGCATAAAATCCGAATCTTATCGAATGGCGGAACGGATCTAAGGATCTCTGATGGAAGTCCCCGTCTTGTTTAAATATTTATAGAATTTTCCTGTGGGCGGGGTTGGAACTCACCTCGATGCAGAACTGACAGTCACACTGCAGCAGGGACATGGCCTCGGCCGCATCCTCTACGTCGATCAGACACAGCTTGCAGGTGAAGGGCTGGAAATTGCTGGTGGGCGTGGCCGAGGGTGTGACATCCGCGGAGGCGAGCATCTCGCGGCGTTGCAGGGTGATGCCGTCCCGCACGCAACAGGCCTGGGCCGCCTGATTGGCACTGGCCATCGACAGCAGGGAGCTGACGGTCAAAGGATAGGCGTGATGGGTGCCAAATGGACCGAGTTCCCCGCCAGTCGGTGTTGGCTGTTCCTGCTGTTGTTCCTCCTGCTGTTGATGCTGCTGGTGCTGCTGGTGCTGCTCCCCTTCCATGGCATGGAACAGTTTATTGTTGGAGCTGGAATGGAGCGTGGCCGTGGTCACATTGGACGGTGGACTGGGGCTACTGGATGGTGCTGACACTGCTCCGCCGCTGAGTCGGATCTGGGCATTTACGTTGATGTGCGGCTGCTCCTCATCTCCGCCGGCTGCCGAGTCCGGGCGAGCCACAAATCCATTGGCCAGTGAGTAGCGCGATCCGGATGCAGCCAGGGAAAGCAGACTGGAGCAGCGCGAGCAGGTGCCAACGCCCCCAACACCGCCATGGCCGTTGATGCTGTTCACGCTGTTCCGCAGCCGATTGAGCGGTCGTATCTGCTCGATGCCGGCGCTGCTGAAGATCCCACTGCCATGACCGGCCATCGAGTGGCCCTGGCTTCGGCTCTGGGACAGGCTTAGACCGTGCTGACTGTGGCTCTGGCCCTGCCGTGTGAGGGCCAGCACCGTCTCGCATTTGCGCAGTCCCGTGTACTGGACAATGGACTGGGACTTCTCCTGGTGGAGGCTGCTGGCGCTGCCCTCGCGCCGCATGATGTGCCACAGCTTGTGCTGGACAACATTCAGGGAGCTGCTCGAGCCGCTGATGCTGATGCTGCCCCTGGGATGGCCATTGGCTAACTGCTGGCGGCCGGCTGGATCCCTGAGGACCACGTCCTGCTCCGAGGGTGTGCGTGTGATGCGTATCTCTGGCGAGGCTGGACGCTGCAGGCCAGTCTCCCGATCCTTTTCCCGCTCCCGCTCCCGCTCTCGACTGCTGCTGGCCTTGAGTCCCACGAGAGACTTGAGAAAGTTCTCGAAGCGACGCCGCCGCGGCAGCTGTCCGCCCCCGGACAGTCCCAGCGAGCTCTCCAGGTCATAGGCAGCTCCTCCAGCCCCAGCCAGGGCTCCTGCAGATCCGCCGCCTCCGCCGCCTCCTCCTCCGCTGAGGCTGCTTGCTCCGCCAGCGTCGCCATTCGCCGACGAAATGATGATCTTGTTGCGTGTCTGCGTCTCCAGCAGAGCAACCGTCTCGGCCTCGTGGGCGTTCTCCTCGAGATGGGACGTGGCATGCAGAGCGTTGGAGGCGGAGACAGAAGCGGAAGCGGAGGCGGAGGTGGCCTTTTGGCTGGCGGAGCGTTGGTGCTGCTTTGTGTTTGCCAGATTGTGAATTGGCGACGAATCCTGAGGAAACAGAGGCAAATAAACAACAGATTAATCTCTCTCTCTCTCTCTCGCTCTCTATCACAGCGTAGCTTAGCAGCAAACTTACCCTCGAGTCCTGTTCAAGCTCCTCCTCGAGGGCACTGTACACGGGCGCGTACCAGGAGTAGGATAGCTGCTTGCGGGCCGTGTGGGCCGTGGGCGGTGCGGCGCCTCCTCCTCCACCGCCGCCTACAGCAGCACCCACACCAGAGTTAGCCGTGGGTGAGTTGAGGCCCAGGCCGTGATGCTGATGATGCTTGTGCGGCACAAGCTTGCCTCCTGCACCTGCACCAGCACCAGCACCTGTTCCTGCCCCGTTGGGAGCGTAATTTGTGCCGGCGGTGGTCACCAGATTGCTGGCGTTCGTGTGGCTGTAGCTAAGCGGTAGACTGCGTCTCTGGTGCTGTCCGCGCGTGGGCGGCAAATGCTTTGTCGTCTTGCGTGTCGTTCGTTCCCCGCCAGCGCCGTAGAGGCTGCTGTGGTGCTGTCGTCTCTGGCTGTGGCCCTGACCCAGCTCTTTCTTTGTAAAGATCAGCGAGGCGCTGTTCTTGCTGAGCCGAATGGACCGCTGCTTGTCCACCACAGTGGCCTCGATGTGTGTCAACAGGGGCACCGTCTCGGACAGGGGCAACAGTGGCTGGTGCTGCTGCTGCGACGAGGCCGCTGATTCCGCCGGAAAGTTGATCACAAAGTTCTCGGCGGCGTCATCAAATATGCTCTCCCTCGCAGCACTCACACAACACTCCTCGCTGGACGATGGAGCGCTGAGGGAATTGCGTTTGTTGGCTGCTCGGGAATGGGCGTGGGAATGCGATCTGAGATCTGGTGAGTGGTGATATGTGACGGCCGAGCCGCTGTAGCTGATCTTGTTCTCTACCAAAAGCTCCAGGGGCGGCAGCAGCTTTGAGTTGTGCGTCGCGTGCCTCTGCTGTGGCAGACTCCTGTCGGCGTCTAGTTCTATCGGATTCTGGTGTATTCTTTGCTGCTGCTTCTGCTGCTGCTGCTGCAGCTGTGTCTGCGTCTGATGCTGATGCTGATGCTGCTGCTGTGGCGTGGCATGGGCGTGGACGTGGACCTGGTGATGAGGCGCCTGCACTTGGTACTGCACTTCATTCGGCTGCAATCCCGTCGACGCAGACATTGGCGGCATTGGTGGCCTCATTCTGGCTCAGAGCGGAACTGCTAACTGTAACGTGGCTCGACAGCAAAATGGTGATCCTGCACAGGTCCTTAGCCGTGCCCGGCAATGGCAGCGACATCTTGATCAAGGCCTGCAAGAGATCGAACGAAACAGAACGTTGAGAATTACAGATTTTAACAGAATATAAGCAAATCAATACAAACTAAATACACAGACCTAGGATCGAGGAAGGGCATGGCTGAGATGGGATCGGAGTTAGAATAAAGAAAGAATAAACTCAAAGAAAGAAAGGTACAGCCGAAGGACATACAATTTAATTCGAATAATTGTATGCCCCACTCTTTGTGTGTGTTTTATTCCTTTCTTTCCGCCCATTCACACTGGGAACATGAACATCTGCAGTCAAGACATTTGGAGCATTGTTGATTCGAATGTCGATTGCTTTGACCTTGAAGCAATGACCTTTAACCAATGATCCGACCGAGTAAAGAGCACAAAAGTTACATGGTATGCCTGCGACAATCAACTACTACTTTATGGCACTTCATCAAGCATTATCGATGCATCACGATAAATTTTATAGACAGAATAATGAAAACTAATTTCAAACTATGGCTGCATAAATTAAATCAAATATATTACTCATTAAATCATTTTCTAGTTGATAATTTTCAAAGCGGTGTAATCCGATTATGCGTAATTTTCACAGCCAGATAAAGTTGCAAAGGCCAGCAAGAAGGACACTGACCGATACGCATACACATACATACATAGGTATGTAAGGATTTTTCCTTTAAAGGCTGAAAACTTCTAGTGCGCCACCGAAGGAGAAAAAATGTGCTAATTGGCAGCCCAACTTGTGAAATGTTGTGGTATTGCAATTTACGTAGTTGCCAAAATATTTACAGCTGCCACAAAGCGCAAAGTTTTAAAGTTTGGTTTGAAAAACACTTTGGCTAACTCAACGGATGCCATTCCCCATTCAATTCAACATTTGGGGAAGCATTTGCATTCGCATCTGTGCGCTTTATTGGATTTATGGCAATTGGCCTGAAGGGAGCAGCTTTTGTGCGGAATATCCAATGCCTCTGGGTTTCAATTTATTCTGCCATTCGGCAACGTTTTCCTTTTATTTTCCACCATCTATCATTCAATTAGAATTTGTGTGTTAGGTGTCAGGTTGGGGTCGTACCTGTTCCGATTTAATTATGAGCCTCAGCTGAGGCATGCCCGTATTAAGTGGCTTTCAATGTTATCCGATCCCAGCCAAGCACATAAATTTGATTGACTACTCCAATCAATCATTGTGCAGGCAGTAGTCAGTCCACTTGGGGATTGGGTTTAGGGTCTTGGCTTTTTGGGCACTAATCCATTTAAATGTTCGAAAATGCAACAAAAAGCCAATTTTGAATGGAAATTAATCGTGAAAATTCCCGTGTAGTCGCCAGAAACTATGCAACGGATAATATTCAATGCGCAGCCTACGTTCCAACGCAATAGCTAGCAGTACCCGGACAACGGCAGACTCTCCACCCCCGGGTGGGGTCACTCTGATTCCACCCTCAATTACGATATTTTCCGTATCGATTCGTGTGAGTTGGCCAGGATGTGACCCAAGGATTCCCCAGACAATGGAAATTTATGCAAATTGATAAATGGAAAAGCGTAAAATATAATTTCGAGGAAATTAGATAAATTATACAGGAAGCACATGGAAAATATTCTGCCCATGCGAACAGCTCAGTAAATAAATTACATTTATGGAACTCTAAAAATGCCAGCATTTGGGTACAATGTGGAACAGGCAGTTACAGTTGCAGTTACAGTTGCAGCTGCAGCTGCAGCTTTCATGTTCTTTCTCAATAATGGGTCTCAATAGGTCTGTTGAAAAGACCTCTCTGGCTGAAATTTCCCAGATATTCCCAGTAATGCCTGTGGTCACACTGTGTCACTGTGTTCAGGGCTGAAGGTAATGGCATTTTTCCATTAAGTTCAACTTAATTACGTTGGCAGCGAATTGCTCATGCTTAAGATGGCTCCCACAGAGACATTCAAGGTATGTGGCTATATTAATTTTTGGCATGCCATGCGCCTGGCGTCCAACATTCAACCTCTGCTGCTGCTCTTTCTGCTCCTACAACGCACCGAAGTATGCAACGAAAAAATGCGCATTACGCATAATTGTCGAGCGCAAAGGAGGGAAGCACGAGAAAAGGAGCCACAAGCCGCAGAAGTGGAAAAAGTGAAAGATAAATTACTTGCACACAGCCACACATAAGCGGCTGCCACGAGGCCAAGTCCTTGGTAGAAGGAAGAGGAACAGAAACAGGAAAATGTGAGGGTGGGGGCATAAGGGGGGACATCTACAAGACACATTTGCCGCCTGGCTGACACTGACTGGGGTTTTCGTGCTGTGGCATGACAGCGCCCCCGCCCCAATACCGACTCTCTTTTGGGGCCACGGCCAGAATTAATCGCTTTCGGCGCGCATTGTGAAATGCTGAAATTTGTCTCGTTTTTTTTATATTAAACGGCATTTAAGCCACGTTAAGGGGAAGTTCAAAAGACCGGCAATTGCAAAACAAAGATTGATGGAGCTCTGGCTGCTCCTTCCAGAGAAACTATCAAATCATTCAATCGCAGCCTCCACATCGACAGCAATCAATGGGAAAATTCCTCACTGAAAATGTGCAAAATGTACACAATTAATTGGTCACCCAAGCAGTCAGTTAGCATTGCGAATGAATTCCAAAAGAGGATATTCAAATGAAATAAGAAATACAACAGAAACTTACCATAATTCAATCTGCCAGGAAATTCAATCAACTGCCAAAGTTCTTCACTGTAACTGCAAATAAAATAGAGATGGAAATATGCTTTATTATTTAGTATGTATTTGTATCGTTATTTACCAACAATTAAAATAGCAAACACAAATATTCATTAGAATTTGAATATGTAACAAAATAACATCAGATTAAAAGGAGGAGGAATTTTCGAAAGTAACAATGGGTTAAGATACATCGGAATGCGAATAAAATAAATTTATATCAAATAAAATATTATTTCTCTTGTCGGGGCAGTGAATAAATGTGCGACAGGGTGGGTGGGGACTGGGGAAATAAGATGCGAGCCCACACGATTAAAGTACCTGAAAAAGGGACATGAGAAGAGATAATCTACAAAAGGTGTAGGTGTAATAACAATGATATAATACTATCGAACAAGCGACCAAAGTAAAGTCAAGGCACAAATTTTTTGCTATTAAATTCCAAAATTAATTAAAGCTAAACAAACATAATTTTGGTTGCTTAATACACATTTTAATTGCCTTGCCATAGGTAAGAAACATATACGAGTAGTGCATATTCTCGTTTGTAGCATTTGTCAGCGGCTAATTAGAGCTGTGTGACCCTTAGGCGTGACCAACGTACACACTCGGCTCGGGGTTAAGCGTGGCCAAGTGGACCAGAGGGCAGAGGGCAGAGCAGACACATGAGGGTACGAGTCAGAGGGCTGCCCAGAGCAGTGTGCTATGTTTTATTTATAGAGCCCACACAGTACACAGGCCTCCCGCTCTCTCCCACTCAACCCATTGATTAAGGACACATGTCAGGGACAAGCCACACTGTGAGAGGGGGGAAAAAGAGAGAGACAGTGTACCAGATAATTCATTTGTCAAGTCTCAGCGATTATAGATGATAACTTTCCTGATGACAACGAGTAAATTGTTTAATCATAGCAAACGAAAAACGACAAAAAAAAAAAACGAAAGAGGAAATGAAAAAATGGAAAAAAGAAAATAGAAACTAACACGCAATTGCTGACGTCTTTGGCATGCAATTCATGCACCACCGACACAAACAGCAAACCACTTAAGGGTCAGATTTATCCGCTGACCATGAAGCGTCCAACGGAGCGTATGTGTGATATCTGTCATATTGGGGAGGGGGCGGGGGCAAAGAGAGACGGCAGTACTGCTGCTGTCCAATTATTACGACTAAAGGATGAACTCTGCGTAAGTGTGCAAGCCAGAAGATAGACAGAGTGACAATAATATCTCATGTCCGTCTGACAGTTTGTTGTCCCAGGCCAAATGATTACGCGACAGCCGCACTGCATAAGCAGCTTAGGTTAAGTTAAGCTCAAAGCTTACCTCCAGGGTGATTCAGCTGCCAGCAGCGATACAAACAAAGTCAAAGCTTTGGATGTTGTAAGTCCCGCAGGATATCGCATGTGGATATCCGCATGGCATTCGTTTTCCTTTTAAAGACTCACAGATTTAATTTTTGTTGTATAAGAGACACTGAAGGGGACATCCCCACTCACAATCACAATAATAATAAATGTACCTCCTGCAAAACGAAGGCAGTTCCGATCAGCGTAAGAGACACAATTCAATTGAAGTTTCAATCGAAGCCAACACGCAGTCCAAGTACCAAATAGCCTGACGATCCGATCGGCATTTGCATACACAGCCAAAGTGCATTTCAAAGTAAGAATAGCTTTGACTTTTCCCGATAATAGATAATCATAGAAGTGGCTTACACAACCCAAATTAGGAGGATGACGAGGAGGAGGAACCAAACTTTCTAGTAATAATAGCGCTAGTAGCTACTAAACAGACGCCCCTTTAGTCAGGGTTATCTTTCGAACTTCTCCGTTAGCCCTCGCTTGGCAGCAAGTCAAAGTGCATGGCGATCAACGGTAATCAAAATGGAATCTCAATCAAATACGTGACATATGTATAACAAGGCGGGCAATGGCGTCTGGACAGGTGAGAAATCGCCTAAGAATCGTAGTCATTCCAGTTGCATTTTGAGCAGGGTCGAAAATGCGATACACGTATCCATGATGAAGCCTTTTCATTTGCCACACCCTTGGAGGCTTTGAGAGGCACTTGAAAGTCTAGACGATGGCAGAAGCGGAAGCAAGTGTGGCCGAAAGCAGGGGAACGATGAGACTCTTTAAGAATAAAATTCGTTGGAATTATAGACATTGAAGGCCCCTGCAAGAAGGAGCTGTGCTGGACTGGCTTCTACAAAATCACAATTCTGATTATGTCGCATTAGCACAGGAAGCCACTGCAGTGGCAGTGGCACTGGCACTGGTAGTGGCAGCTGTCGCTCGCTTATGGCAAAGCCACAAACAGCACAAGAGCCACATCTGGCAATCGAGTCGTCTTGCACCCACAGCTGTCACACAGAACTGCCATGGCTGCCTCTGCCCCCACAGCAACCTTCCTTCCTTCCTCTCTCATGTGCATGCATCCATTAATGTGCCAATAGCAGAAGCGAAGCTCTTGGCCAAGTACTGGGACTGCTATCAGTGCTTAAAGAACTTGCTGAGAATTATGTATGTTTCCTCACTTGTTTCATTCTTCATTCTCTGTCAAAATTTTGAGTTCATTTTTGGTTAGAAAATACTTTAAAATACTGCTCTCAAATCCTAAGCCACGCTGAGAGAGAGAGGGAGATAACGTCATGCGTGAAATTATTTCCCTGCCAAATAGCAGCGACCATAATAATCAGATAGTATGTACATATATATGTACATTTTCATACATAAATGTGTAACAATATGCTGTGAAGAGCAGGCAACTCACTGTCGTCGTTCTTGCTGTCGCACATAATTTCCGTACCTAACATTTCCGGTTCGAAAATGTCATAAAATAGTAAAGGAAAAGCGAAGCACAGAGACCAGAGGGGGCACAGCGGGACAGGGAAGCGGGACAACCGGAGGATGTGCTGCAGATAGCGCATAATCTAATGCAAAGGACGGCAGGCAGACAGACAGACAGGCAGTAGAAACAACAGAACCAAATGATAGACAGAAGCGGAAGAGCAACTGTTCCAATAGAAGCAAGAAAACTTTTGCCGGTGGACAAAACGAACGAGAAAAGTCTGCCACACGGCAGCATTAAGAGTGCGCGCTTTTCCATGCTTTGATGCTTAAATCAATTGAAGCTACCTTTTTGTGGACAGTTGCAGCTGCAGCTTGACATGATTATCCAAAGGCTGACTAAACACAAAGAAGCGGGGAAATGCAGCAGCCCTTAGCTGCTTGGAAAGTGCAGTATAGAGAGCCATTATTCTGGCTAAAATACACAATATTTCCCCCATTTATTTTATACAAAAATTCTCTATTTAAAATGTATTCCACGATCTTTCCATTTCCCATTTAAGCTTTAGTTTAAATAACCCATTTGTTGCAGTGCGAAAAAAACGAACTACAAAAAGTGCATAAATAACATAGAATATAAAAAACGAAAAAAAGGAGTACAAAATATCGCTTAAATTGTCACCGCTTTTGGCTGATTTATAGCCGGGCCAAATTAATTGAGAATAAACGCTGAAAAATGGAGAGAGCCCCGAAAAAGCCAAAAGCCAAAGCAGAAAGCAAACAAAACAAAAAACTACAGTGAAACAGAAAAGCACACAGCCAAAATTAATTGCACTTCTGAACTTTCGATGCTGTTTGTGTGAGTTTTCGCTGTTTCGAGTCGACTTCTCTGCCTCTCATTTGTTACAGAAAATTCAATTAAACAATCCTGCAATCGTATAAACAAAATCCAACCCCTTTTGGGCATGGCAGGGCAGGGCTAAGCAACACTGGGAAAGAGAGAGCGAGAGAGAGAGATGGAGTGGAAGTGCCACAGGTCAGTAGCGCCTACATAGCCGTATAGTTTTTAATTGAAAAATGTGCAATTAAAAGTCTTGTATGCATATGGAAAACGAGCGGAAAAGCGAACAGTGAGGCAGCGAGCGAGCGAGCAATGGGGCGTATGAGCAATGTTTCAGTGTGTATAAATTATAAGTCGGCTGCAAATTAATTAAAGCACTTAATTTTCCCATAGATTCAATTATATTACATGGCATTCAATTAAGCCCATAAATGTGTTCTCTTCTGCCCGCCTCTGATCTTCTCAAAAAGTAAATAAATATCTGAGTGAGGGGGGGGTGGCTGTGGGGACACAGGATAATCCAATCAACAAAAGGACCAACAAACAGTGGCATGTGGTATGTGGCATGCAGATGGAGCACATAATTTGGCACATGCCAATGTTAAATATTGACACTGGAAATGTTAAAAGCCACTAAATACATATTTACGTATACATAGACATTTGTGGTGTGGGTAGGTATCTATCCGCACACATATGTGTGTGTCTTTGGCACACATTCATGTATGTATGCGCATACACGTTGGTTTTTGTGGTCTGAATGTGTCACGACACACACGGAAACGCACACCCACAGACAGAAGGTGTGGTCCTGAGCTTCTGACCCCATCACACAGCCATCCTGCCCCGACCCCCATCAATCATACCCAAAAACAAGGGGTGAGCGTACAGTGCGTTTCAGAAGTATAATACAATTATAGACAAAGAGAGACAGAGGTTTTGGGTTATTTTAGAGTCAAGCAAACAGATTAGGTATAAAATTGAAATATTTTCTTTTAGAAAATTAAAGAAAAAATAATGCTTCAACTTTATTTTGCACTTAATTAGTCTCAGTCGTCATTCAATCTACAGTCCTTGCAACAAAATCCCGCACACACACAATTATTAACTTAAAGATGAATCTCTGTCTGAATTTTCTATTGTTTGCATCTAAATTAGGTAGACAATGGGATGATGTTCGGCTGAAACGGCCACACGCGAGTGCAAACACACACAGATGCCAGTCCGCAAATCAATTTCAAACATTCCATTCGAATTATTTGGTATGGAAATATTTCTGATTAGTTTTCACAATTTTCCATGCGAGCTGCCACACAAATTGTAGCTTAAAATTTAACTGAATTAAAGTGCAGGAAATATACATACACACATACATAGATGTAATT